AGTTTCACGATGCCAAACTGGATGAAAAAGGTCACTGAGGACGCACCACAATGTATTGACAAGCCCGTCTTTCCATTGGATGATAATTGGGAGCAGCATTCAGTGCATGTATTACATCACAAAACAGTGACAAAAACCGACTTCCAGAAAGCCTTCAGAAAATGGCAAGACCCATTGGATAAATATGTGCAAACCAGTGGGGACTTAGTCCAGTGGGGATTTAATGGCAATGTGTGTTTCATTGTACTATCATTTTCAAGTATTACATATTTACCTTGTATTTTGACCACTCTTGGTGTAAAGAATATACATGGAAGTTCTAGCACAGTCCCTGATTCAGGTTGCTATGACCAAATTGTATGACGGCATGGTTTAACCCACAGAAATTTATTTCTCACAGTTTAGCAGTATGGGACGTCCCAAATCAAGGTTCCAGCAGGCTAGAATTCTCATTCTAAGGACTCTCTCTCTGCCTGGAAAGTCTGAGAAGGTTTTTGCAGTACTACAGACTAAATTCAGTCTCTACATGCCTGGACCTTATTTATTTATTTGTTTGTTTATTTATTTATTCATCATTACTTTTTATTTTTGAGACATTATCTCAGTAGGTTACCCTGGCAAGACTTGAACTCGCAGTCCTCCCATTTCTCAGAGTCCTGGCATCATGCTCTAGAAGCTCCTTGTTAAATGTCCATATGGCCTTTTCTTTATGTATGAATATATAGAGTAAGACTTCTATTCTTCTTAGAAAGTCACCAAGCCTATCACCTAGAGCCCCACCCTTAGGAGCTCATTTGCATATAACTACCTCCTGAAATTTCCATCTCCAAAAGTGCCATTAGACACTAGAGTTTACCATATAAATTTGGAGAGGACACAATTTAAGATGTAGCAGTCTCAAATACATGCATCCAGGCAAATTGCTTTATGTTCCTATGATCATCCGAGCATCAGAGCTGCCATGCAGAAAAGGCCTCGTTAAAGAATCTTCAGTACAAAACTGATATTGTTAATGAACAGTTTATACTCTGTCATAAAAAGGACTTCTAAGTCAAATGGTTACTTAAGTAAAGATATCTAAAGTCTCCATCTGCTTAATACAATGGACAGAATTAGAATTAAGAAGAAAGTGAAAATAACTAGGATCCTTTTGCTTCCTAAAACATAGAGAGATTCTAGCACAGTACAAAAAGGGACAAAATAAAGAAAAACAGGTGGGGAAAATTCTTAATTCCACGTGAAAAGTACGTCATGGCTAAAACATAGAGAAAAGATTGCCAAAAGTCATTATTGCTTTCTACAATAGGGAAGGTTGCAAACATAAAGCAATGTGAAGTAAAATCTATGCCAAAGTAAAAGGGAAATCCAAGTAACTTAAGCCAGTATTATACTATGGCTTAACAAATTTCTTCAGTGTAGGGCCTTAAAACAATGCACATTAACTGTCTTAATTCTTGCAGTTAAATATCTGACACAGATCTCATTGTGCTAAAACCAGATGCTGTTGGCAAAGCTACTACATTCCCTCATGAAAGATTTATAAGATATCTTATTCTTCATCTGCCCTGCTTTGAGAGGCCAACAGTGTTTCTAAAGTCTTGTCTACCCCTTTTTCTGAGCCAGTAATGGCCCATAGAGATCTCAAACAGCATTACGTTAACTTCACCTTTGTTTTCTTCTTCCTTTATTGAAATGCTTGTTATTGGACTCAATCTACTTACATAATCCAAGATAATCTGCCCAATTTGTAGGTCAGTTGATTGGCAAAGCTCAGTGTCACAAGTTACCCTTTGCTAGGTAATTGAATATAATCATGTGCTCAAGGAACTAGAATGTGAACATCTTTGGGGAAAAGGGCATTATTCTGTCTAATTAAGATGTTAAATTCAAATAAAGAACTTAAAATATTCAAATAGTTATATTATTACCACTGCTCTGTCAAATATCTACATACATTTTCCTGACTGAAAATTTAAATGTAATATAACTCTACTTTCAACTGAAGAAAAAAATCTAAACGGAGCCTTATCTAAATGAGACAATTTAGGGAAATTATACTGAATAAAAATCAGACCCAAACAGATGATACATGCCTGATAATTAACTTGAAGTGTCTGGAAATATTCTGAAAAAAATGGCAATTCTGAAAAGTTAAGGATTTGTTAAACTAGAAGTCAGTAGTAGGGAAAAGAGCTGAAAAAAGAGGAAGATTTACTACAGAAAACACAAACATATTGCAAATTAGATCTATTTTGGCTTTTGCTCTCAATAAAATTTAAAATATTAAAAAAGAGATGACAGATGAAACGAAATAGTACACCAAGTTTAAAGGGAACTTGACGTAATGAAGATATGAATAAAAAATAATACAGTTGAAATGTAAAAGTACCGAGTAGATTAAAAATTCCACTATACAATCATTCTATTTTTTTTTTTTTGGCATAACTTGGAATTGAACTCAGGACCTCGCACTTGCCAGGGAAGAAATTATTCCACTGAGCCATCTCCCCGGCCCAATATACAATTATTCTAAAAATACTAGCAAAAGATTTGAAAATTGTTTCTGCTACTCACAGGAAAAGTCAGGAGTTTTCCCACAATCTAGACAAATGGGATGAGGTCCACATCTTATAATCTGAGGCAAATTCTAATCCTTTTCCCAGGAATGACAACTATACTTATGGTTTTGCTTAAATTTTCAAAGTTCATAGATTTCTCCCCCCAAAAAAGAATTTAATTTTTTGACCCAAGAAGTAGCATCTCTGTTCTACTGAAAGAAAATAAGCTGTTTTGTTTTTCTGCTAGGATCTTTTTTTAACATTTTATTAAAATATTTTAGCCAGCACATAGTAATTGAACATATTTATGGGGTATGGTGTGACATTTGAGTACAGGCATAGAATGTGCAGTGATCAGATAAGGGCATTGGCATACCTATCAGCTCAGATACAGATTATTTCTTTGTATTGGAAATATTCAAAATTCTTTTTAATTGTTGTTTTATAATATTGAATTAATTTTTATCTCCTTCTGTTTTTTTGAGATTGTTTGTATGGTACTGAGGATTGAATCCAGAGCTTTCCTGTTCATCCCATTTCCTTGTGAAAAAGGCTGTGTGTAGGCCTATATGTGTATGTGTGTATGTGTGTGTGTGTTTGTGCATGTGTGTATGCTCACACACATGCACAGGTACATATGTTAAAGTACAGAAAGAGAGGGATACAGAGACAGAGACAGAGAGACAGAGAGAGACAGAGACAGAGAGACAGAGAGAGAGAGAACAAAAGCAGAGTATAGAAATGAAAGGAAACACTCTCCTCTTCTTGACTGTATTCTCACTAGTCCCACTCATGAGGAGGAAGCATTAGTATAAGTAGATTTCATCCAGAGAAGCAGACGTTGGCCATAGACACTGCTCCAAGGATAACAGGAGGAAAACTGATGGCCCTGAGGAGTGACTCCAAGCATATGAAACAAAATATTAAGACAGAATAATATAACAATGGCACATTCGGTTAGGGATAATGGGCAATTACTTTTCAGTACTTGCTTAATGCCTAGGAAGCTGCAAGTACTCCTAACAATGTAAGAAATTATGTTCATTGCATTCTGTGCTCTGTACCCAGCAAGTGGCACAAAATGAAGACCGTAGTAAGCACTAAGCATTGTAAAAGACTGGAGGTGTGCTGATTGCCTAGAGGCATCCCTGGACATATGCTCTTACAGAGTAATTTTTCTTCCCTCTCTGATAATTAAATTAGAGCTCAGTTTAGTCTGAGAAATGAAGGATTTGTCAGCCCCGCACAATAGTTTGGGAGTTTGAGCAGAAATCTAAAGTGTGAAACTAGAGCTAGCAAATGGTGACACTATTCCTGAAAAACCCTGTGAAATTTGGAAGCATTTGAGGCATGACTTCTGTTCTCTAGCCTTACTTGAAATGAATGACAGAGCCAATGGGGACTTCATGCAGCCAGGTAATGACCTAGAAGCAATCAGCTGGACTGCTCCTACCTGCAGCTCTCAGAAGTAAACTCCAGGATCTGCAAGGCCTTAGGACCAAAGACCTCCCCAATTTGACAAATGGACAGAGGAATGGAGCCTCTCCTTAAGTGGTGTCTGCCTAAGCAACAATACTAAATGCAAACAATGCACATGGGAAAGAGAGTGACAACTAGAGGCTGTCTCTTAGGGCCATGGAAGCTCCCTTCCTGGCCTGTGTCTAATTGAACTCTTCCTAGCTAAGAACTATCTTTACATGCAATTATTCATAGAATCCCCTTTCATTCTCAAAAGTATCTCGATTTATATGATAAATTACAGTTATCTGTTACAAATAAAATAGTTTGATCTTCTTCCAAAAATACAATGGAATCCTAATACACAGTGCCTCAGAACGTGGCCTCATTTGGAGATGTCTGTCTCAGAGATAATCCATTTAAAGTGAGGCTGTTAGGGTGGATCCTAACCTACTATGACTGGTGTTTTCACAAAAGGGATTGATTTGGACTAGGGCAAAAGGACACCAAGGTAAAGAGACAGGGATAAGGTGGCCATCTGTAACCAAAAGAGGGAGATCCAGAGTGAATCCTGCCCTCACCTCCCTCAAAGGTAGCGATCCTGCTGACACCAGGATGTCTGTCTCTGGCCTCTAGAACTCTAGTACAATGTATTTCAGTTTAAACAAAGAATCTGTGGTACTATATTATGGCAGTTCTAGCACGTTCATGCACACTGTTGCCTTTAACAAAATTAAGGGAATGAATGGAGAGTATTTCCTTTGGTTAGGTAGTGTTAGCGAATGTGGGAGTCCTGAGCTCTCACCTGGGGCCACTGGCGGCAGCAGCTCGAGGAAGGAGTGTGGAGAGAGTAGGCTATACATAGGAAAAAAACATAGAGGCAGATATAATTGCAGATCTTCGAGACAAGCTTAAAGAGGTTGAAAAGGAGCAGCTAACGGCTGCACAGTATGGTTTACAGCTGCTAAAGTGCCAGACTGAACTGCAGAATCAGTTGGATGAACATCGTAATGAAATGATGACCATGACTGAGAATTATAAACAAGAAAAATATGCTCTTCAGAGAGAGGTTGAGCTCAAGAGTCGAATGTTAGAAAGTTTGAACTGTGAATGTGAAGCTATTAAACAACAACACAAAGTGCAGCTGGAACAACTAGAAGAGCAGTTGAATAGAAGCCATGGACAAGAAAGGAATGAACTAAAAAATAAGTTAGAAAAACTGAAAGTGGAGTTAGATGAAGCAAGGCTTAGTGAAAAGCAGCTGAAGCATAAATTAGATCACCAGAAGGAACTCCTGGCTCAGAAATCAGAGGAAATACGGATAGTGTCTGAGCGTGTACATGGGATCTTGTCTTCGGAGATGCTGGCTCTTCAGGTTGAGCTGACTGAAATGGAAAGTATGAAGACCATCCTCCAAGAAGAAGTGAATGAACTACAATGCAGACAGGAACAACTAGAAAGTTTCAGTAATAACTTAATGCGCAGGGTAGTCCAATTTAAAGAAGATAAAGAAGAGCGGGAAAAAGAAGCAGTTTCTTACTACAGTGCCTTAAAGAAAGTTTGTGTGGAAAATCAGGATTTTCAGATGCAGTTGAATCAGGCACTCCAGCAAACTTTGGATCCCAATAGTAAAGGCAACTCTTTGTTTGCAGAGGTGAAAGATCGAAGGGCAGCGATGGAACGCCAGCTGATAAGTATGAAAGTCAAGTATCAGTTATTAAAGAAGCAAAGTGTATTTAATAGAGAACAGATGCAAAAAATGAAGCTGCAAATTTCCACATTACTACAGATGAAAGGATCTCAGACTGAATTTGAACAGCAGGAACAGTTGTTTGCCATGATGGAGCAGAAAAAATGGTGAAATAAAACACCTTTTAGGTGAAATTAGAAATTTGGAGACATTTAAGAATTTGGTGGAATCTAAGCCTTCCATGCCAGGCAACTCTGGTCTAGAAGACAAAACCTACTATACAGATTTACTTCAGCTAAAACTTGATAACTTAAACAAAGACAATGAAAGCACCAAAGGTGAGCTGTCCATACAGCGAATGAAAGCGTTGTTTGAGAGCCAGCGGGCCCTGGATATTGAGCGAAATCTTTTTGCAAGTGAAAGACGCCTTCAGCTCGTAGAAAGTGAAAATATGAAGCTAAGAGCTAAAATTGATGAACTAAAGCTGAAGTATGAACCTGAAGAGAAAACTGAAGTGCCTGTGCTCAAAAAGCGGCGTGAGGTGCTCCCTTTGGATGTAACTGCCCCTACAGAGGATACCAACTTGGAGTTAGAAGAACCGATTTCTACAAACACACCTATAGCCGCTATCTCTCCTTGCAAAAATCTCCCACTGGATCTGCCTCCAGAGAAAGAAAAAAAGTGTGTGAAGCTTGTAGATGATCCAGCGGATGCTGAGGCCTTATGTGAAAGAAGTGGAAATGCCCCCTGTGCTGCCAGGTTAATTGCTGAACCACAGCTTCAGATGGAAGCTAAAGAAGGGAACGAAGCTGCGATCAAGCTAGGAAAGGAGCCTGCTAAGAAGCCACACCCTATTGTGTACGTGTCCTCCAAGTCAGCTCCAGAGACTCAGTGTCCTCAGCAGTAGACTGCTCTTTCACTACTGGCCCCAAAGTCGCCTATGAAGCTCAGTTGAGACTCATCTGAGGAAGCCTCCTTGTGGATTGACTGTACCACCCCATTTTTGTGTCCTGGTGTTTTCGGGATTCTGTGACTGAGTGCTGAAAATGTAGTCTATCCTAAAGAAATTAAGCTGCTGACCCTGCATGGAGCATCTACAAGTCCCAGTGAGTAACCTGTTAATGGAAGAAAATGTTATAATTAATGTAAATCTTTTGGCTGCTTTGTTATCTGAATTTGTAAAGTGATGCAAACACTTAACCTCCACTTGAAGCCATATATTTGAAAAGAAAACTTTGAAATTATTATATTTTCCTATGTACTTTTTAGTTTTTCATTGTTGTAAAAATAGGCAATTTGAGTTTTTGTTTTGATTTTGGGGTTTTCTTTAATTTAATTTAAAAATACATATTGTGGCAGGATTTTGTCCATGTTTAAAGCACCTGTATTCACTTTTGTATTAATATGCGTGATTTTGAGTTTGTATCAAGCATATAAAACAAATTAAAATTTAAAATTTGGAATAAAAAATTAAGATGTGCTATATATATATATATATATATCAACTCTGCATAAATATTATAAACATTATATATTGCAAACATTTACCTCCCAAAAAGGTGAAGGATCAAAAGAAGGATGGAGCTGGGAGGAAGGAAAGAAAAGAGTATAAAAAGGAATTAACTTGTATTATATTAATATACCAACTGCCCCCAAAATGCAAATATCATCTACAGATATGTACTATTAAAACAATAAAAATTAAATAGAAAACCAAAAATGCCAGAACTACAGAGCTTCAGAGACCATCTGAAATTCAGGACTTTAGAGAGCATGAAGACACGTCTGTATTTGTGCTAGGAAGGTTTTGTTTAGCATATAATCTCATTTGCTAACATTTTTAGTTAAGAAATCAAACTGTATATGATTTAACTCCAGCTGTTACTCTATTTACAATGAGTTGTGTGAATTTAGTATTGCTTCTAAGGAGAGGCTCCACTCCTCTGTCCAGTTGTCAAACTGGGGAGGTCTTCCTTTTCTACTGCTTGATACTATATTTGTGGAGAACAAATTGATATTTTCATGTGTTTGTAATGTGGACTGATGAAATCAAGCTAATTAATATACCCATCACCTTACTTGCCTATCATTGTTATGCTTGGACATTTAAATTTTCTCTTATTTTGAAGAAAACATTACTATCAACTAGAGATCTAAAAAATTACTCTAGGCTGGCAAGATAGCTCAGGAGACAAAGTGCCTGCTGGGGCAAGCCCAAAGACCAGGGTTTGGTTCTGCATGCCATGCTGGCCCTGTCCCCTGGCACACTGAGCCCATGACCGAGTCTGGACATGGCGGCACACACCTGTAATCCTAGTGCTGGTGAGGTTGAAAACAGGAGGATCACCAGAAGTCCAATCTGTGTAGTGAGAACCTCTACCAAATACACAAATGGAAAAAAAAGAAAAAGAAATGAATAAAAATGTACTCATTCTATTGGGAATTTTGTACCATTTGACCAACTCTCTATCCCATCTCTCCTCATCACATCTTCCACACCAGCCCAGCTCCTGGTAACCTTTACTCTACTCCTCATTTCTATGAGTTCAAAATTATTAGATGCCATGTATAAGTGAAACTATGTAGTATTTGTACTTCTGTGCCTCATTTATTCCACATAACATAATGTCTTCCAGGTTGAATGGGAGAATTTCCTTTTTCACTTGGACACCATTCTCGTCATCTATTCATTCAATTATAGACACTTCAACTCATCCCACATCTTAGCTGTTGTTAATGATGCTGCAATGAACATGAGGTTGAAGGCATTATTTTAAGAGTACCATAGTTTAAATTTGGGGTAAAAAAAAAAGAATTATTCCTGAATTTAGGAATTCTTAGTAGCTGTCTCACTTAAGAACTACTCTGTTGTTACCTGCGTTTACCACTTTTCCCTCAACTCAGATTTCCTTCTCTGTTCTGTAAATAACTATCTTGACTGTGTCTGAAGCCAAAATGAAGTTGCCTCTATTTTTTGTTGCTCATACTTCAGAATTGTTGTCTGACAGACTTTAGCTCTGGTAAAAAGGGGGGAATAACAAAGAAGGGGAATGGAATACACCCCAATAATCAACAGCTTTGTAACTAAACAGGTAAAGGTTAATGTGGTAGATTACTATTAACATTGCTGAAATTTCTAATTTCTTTTGGAGACATGCTCCCCTCCTTCTGTTATGTCATTCCCAGCATAATTGTTCATCACATTGTCTTTCTCCTTAGCCTCAGAAATTGACGTGGTATACACTATTCATCTATCAAAAAGGAATGAAGTTTTGAAACACATTGAATTATGGGTAAAATTTTAGAATATTATGCCAAGTGGAAAGAGTCATATACAAAAAATCCTGTATTATATTATTTTTTGAAATATACAGGAGAGGGAAATCCATACAACCACACAGAAGACTGGTAGCTGCTAGGGGACAGAAAGAAGAGATTGGGAAAAAACTGCTTAATGGATACAAGGCTTTACTTCAGAGTGGTCAAAATGTTTTGGAAATACATGGAATCAGTAGTAATATAATTATTTTTGCCAGCTTAGCCCACCCTGGGGCCGGGGCTGGTGAGGCATGTGATGCTGTGGATTGCAGTCCCCTGCGTCTGCCTAAGCTTGCCTAAGCAAGCACTTTAGACTGCTAAGCTATCTCACCAGCCCCAGTAATGCAATTTTGAATGAAGTAAATGTCACTGTGTTGTTGATTTTAAAGTGACAAATTTCAGATTATCTAAATTTAACTTAGTTAAGTTTCTTCTTTAAAATCCTAACATTCAATGACTCGTTTGTGAGCAAAATTAGCTACAAGAGATGCAGAGTTAGAGCCTAGATATCCTGGCTTGAATTCTGTAACAGCCCTAATTACTAGGCTTACTACTAGACTATCTATCAGAGAATTGATGTCAATTGACATTTTCTAAGCAAATGAGAAGGTTTTATATTAGATTACATGTAAGATCTTGCCTTTCTGTTTAGATTTTGTCAACCTCTGGGGTAATTTGGGGTCTTTGTACATAAATAAGAAATAGCCTATATTTCTCAGCTTTTTATAAAAAAAATTCATATATATCCAATGACAATGGCTAACAATTACAATGGTTCTTCTACAAAACACAGCATGTAGACCACAAAATTGTATATGATTTTCTCACTATTTCATGTAGATAAAACTTACTTTCCCAATAAGGAACTGAACAATAGTTCTTGTTAAACCCTGAGCTAACCTCCTTTAGTTCAGTTACCCACAGTCCACTGTGAGAAAAATATATTAAGTGGAAATTCCAGAAAGCAAAAATTTATTCAACATAAATCATCAATTTAAGTTTTAAATTATGTGCTGCTTTGCATAGTGTGCTACAGCCCTGGGCCTACCCACTCCATCCTGGCCACTTTGTGAATTTGCCTTTGTTCCCAGGGTCTTCATGGTGCATAAGCCACTTCTCAGTTCTCACTGGAGCAGCAGTTTCAGTTATCAAATGGACAAAATTTGACAGTGCTTATAGATGAGACACCCTTCATTTGCTTACTAATGGCTCTGAAGCACAAGAGTAGTGACACTGGTGACTCAGATATGCCAAAACAGAAGCTGTAAAGCGCTTCCTTTAATGGAAAAGGAAAATATTCTTGACCTAATGGAGAAAGACAAAAGCTATTGCTGAGGTAGCTAAGATTTACAATACAATAAGATATTTCAGAGAGAAAATACATCCATCTAACTTTCATCACAGTATAATTGTTTTTATTTTGTCATTAATACTGTTTAATTTATCAACACAACCTTTTCCTAAGTATCTATATATAGTAAATTTTTATATTGAATCTTATCTAGAATATATAAAATTTGGTACTATCTGAAGTTTCAGGTAGCCACTGGGAAATCTGTAACAAGCTCACTGTGGATAAGTGGAGAATATTATAGAAATAGTATTAAAAACAGAAAGCATAGCTTATATGTTTTAAATCTTTCAAAACATTAAAATTAGTTGTAAGTAGTAAATAAGTAGTTACTGACCATGTATTACCTAATATCCATCAGTGTCTTCCATAGTGAATTTTATTTTAGTTTATATTGTCCTTATCATATAAAACAGCTTACCCTGTTTTTCACCTTGCTTTGTGGGTTTTTCCTGTCCTTCATAAGTTCACAAAGGAAAGGAAAGGCCAATAACAACATTTTGTGAGCAATTGTGCAAAAGAAATTGCATTTTTCACTACGAAATCTCAACTCCACTTCATTATATTTCTTTCTCTCTTTCTCTTCCCCCAAAGCTTCATTAGTCACAAGTTACCAACACTGTGTCCCTTTTCTTTGCTTTCTCTCAGCTGCTGACTGGATAATTTTAGGTGAGGTTATGGCACACACACATCCTGATTCCTTCCACGGTGCCCTTTCTTTCAACCCTCCTTCTCTTCAGATCTAAGCAGAGATTGTACAAGTTCTAAGAGTCAAATCCCTGTACTTTGATTTATTAAAAGTTACAAGTTCTGTCCTCAAAGGAATGTCTTCTTTTACTATTTTACTGTAACTTTTTTTAAGCATTCAACCAGCCTTCATTTTTACCCCCAACCAGTTCAATTCAACAAACATACATTATAGCTTAAATATAAACCTAAATTCTTAGAGTGTCTTTACTCAAATATCAAACAGTCTAAGAGAGGCTACCACGGCATGGGTAATTCTACCACACTCTTGTAAGGATGAAAATAGAGGTCTGTATGAGTTCACCTAAAGGAGTGATCCCTCCACTCTGCTCAAGACACTGTGCATCAAGGGTCCTTTTAAAAGCCAATATGAAAAGTTAAAATCCTATATGCTAAAAGTGCACTGTGTGGTTTTTAAATACCACAACAATTGCATAATGTTTGAATTAGATAAAATAGCTCTTAAAGCATCCATCATTTCTTTGTGGGGACATATTCAAATATCTTCTAGC